GTCAGAGGAGCACACATCATGGATTATAGTTGGACTTCTTCACATCTGCAACATGAGCTCAGCTGAGTTGCAGCTTCCAAATATTCTGACATCAGAGCCTAATTAGGACTTTTGTGAGCTTTAAAATGACACATTTAAACATAATTAGAGTTTTAGTCACACCCAGATGTTTTAAACGTGTTCGTGTATTCTGTGTTTACCATATCGTCATCTTCATCTTCTTCTCCGTCTTTTCCTTGCGTCTCCTCTTCATGTTTTCCGCACTCCTCCGCTCCGTTTCCACCAGAGTTCAAGTTTTCTGCAGCCGACGTGTCGTCCTGCTCGGAGATGGTGCGCGAACTCGAAGACGAGGAGGGCGAAAACTGTTGCTGCTCCATGATGTCAATAAAAACAAACCCGCGCGCCGCCAAAAACCAGCCCTGCGAGGCTTTTAATTAACCTGTCCGTCGGCGCACCTGCTGCTGCTGGCTCATTCTGGACTCCACTTTTCGGCTGGTTTTCAGTCACGACGCCGACACTCGGGAATTCTCGGGTAGGAAATGAGCCAACGACCGCAGGGAGCACGCGACCGGGCTCCCCGCTGCTGTTACCGGCGAGCTCCTGTTGGATTTCGACGCTCCAAACTTCCCAGGTCGAGTGACTCTATCCGCCTCTTCCCCTCATATCTTTCACTGCAGCAGCAGCCCCCAAACAAGCCCCGCCCACAACGTGTGAGAGTGGACCAATCAGACCACAGCAAACCTTTTAAATCAAGGCCCTTGGCTGAACTTCAAAACAAGCCGTTTAAATTGTTATTATTGCAACAAGCGACAACTTTAGATACTTTACTTCAGTTTTCTTATTTATTTAATAATTACTTTACTTCTGCCTGCAAATTTCTTTATCTTTCTCTTTCACTTTATCTCTAGGCTACACCAGCTCCAACACACATACACACACCCACACACACACACGCACGCACGCATCAAAATGCTGGGGTTTCTCTTTCAACTCCTTTAACAAACAAGATAAAAGAGTTTTCTTTTATCCCATAAAACATTATCTAGATCAAGAGTCTGCAAGCATTACAATAATGAGGCATTTCTGCCCTTTTTAGAATAGAATAGAATATCTGTTAAAGCATCGTAAATTAACTGAATATGAATAAAGTAGGAAAAGACCTGTTTCTGTTGATGAGAGAATCTTATTTTTAACCAATTAGATCAAATTTCAACTAACAGCTATGTAAAACATTTTAGAGCTAATCTATGATTGTGAAAGATTAATATCCCACTCTGAAATATTCACATGTATACTTTTATCCTATTCAATAATCAAACGGAAGTGGCAATGCCAAATAATTTAACTGTTTATTTGCAATGTAATATTTGTTTCTTGTTCTTATTGTTGTCATTGTTACCATATA